GACTTGATGGGCCAAATGGCCTGCTTCCACACTGTAAGGATTCTATGTCCTGGGGCTGAGAAAACTGACCTCCAACAAGCACAACAGTCTTCCTATGTGCCAGGTATGATTCCAACCAGTGGAGAGCATTTCTGAAGAAGGGTCCAGGCCCGAAACGTCAGCTTTCCTGCTCCTCGGATGCTGCTTGGTCTGCTGTGTTCATCCAGCTCTACACCTTGTTATCACAAAGGTTCAGATTGTTGTGATGAATTGGCCCGAGGCATGTGATCATAGGCCGAAACATCTAGAATGGGATAGAGAAAACAAACAAACAGGCTTTGTTTTTGCTCTTGTCTCACATTACACTTACTCGTGCTGGAATATTTGTGTTCCCATATGAGGGAGGACAGATTGATACCACTGTGATGCTTACAGATGGCTGTCCCACACTCTGCCTATAGAGGAAGAATTGCATTGGACAGTGGCTCCTCCTGTGAGATTGTATTTTACTACATCCTTGAGAGAAAGAAAACTCGAGGAAGCCAATTCTCATTCTCACCTTGAGGAGGTATCTCCTGGCATTTGGCTGGTAGAATCAGTAAGAAAGATTGCCCATTGAGTATCAGCTGTGCTCAGTGAGTTACACTCTGTGCTGAGTCAGGAGGTTGTAGGTTAAAATCCTACTCCTGAGACTTGAGCTCATAATCCATGCTGACACTTCAATGCAGTAACTGAGGAAGTACTGTGCTCTTTGAGGTCCTGATTTGAGATTGATACCCTATCTGCTCCCTTGTGTATGATTTATAAGGGGAAGTGATGGCCTAGTGGTATTATCGCTGGACTGTTAATCTAGAGACTTGGATAATGTTCCTGGGACCCGGGTTCAAATCCCGCCGTGGCAGATGGTGGGATTTGAATTAAAAAAAAAAAATCTGGCATTAAGAATCTAGTGATGACCATTAATCCATTGTCAATTGTCAGAAAAAACCCATCTGGTTCACCAATCCCTATTAGGGAAGGAAACTGCCATCCTTACCTGGTCTGGCTTACATGTGACTCCAGACCCACAGCAATGTGGTTGACTCTTAACTGCCCTCTGGGTAATTAGGGATGGGCAATAAATGCTGCCTAGCCAGTGATGCCCTCATCCCATGAATGAATAAAGAAGAAAAAATAATTATAAAATTTGGTGCTGCTGCCCAACAAGTCCACACCAACCCAGACCCATTCCCCTGTAACCCTCCTAATCTACACATCCCTGAACCCTACAGGCATTCCAGCTAACCTGCACATCTTTGTCTGCGTGGGTTTCCTCCAGGTGCTCTGGTTTCCTCCCACAGTTCAATGTGCAAACTCCACACAGCCAGTCACCTGAGGGTGGAATCGAACCTGGGTCCCAGGCACTGTGAGGCAGCAGTGCTAACCACTGAACCATCAAACCACCATGTTGGATGAATAAAATTTCTCACTGGCATCTTGGCCACTACCTATCCCCTAACCAACATCACTAGAGCAGATTGCCTGGCCATTATCATATTGTAGCTTCTGGGAGTTGGCTGTGTGCAATCAGGCTGCTATATTTCCTATATTATAGCAATGTCTACCATTCAAAAACACTTCATTAACACTCCATTGTGTTATTCAGGGTAATGAAATGCATGATATGAATACTAGTATTTGTTTCTCTCATGCTTCCTACTGAACCATGTTGAATTCAGCGTTACTTCAGAAGGTTGAAGCTGAACCATGTTTAATTATCTTTAACACTACTGTCTGATTTTGGTAAAGTTTGAATCTGGTATTCTGTCTTACTGCTTTTGACATTACTACTATTGTGAATCCTTTAATTCGTTGAGGGTTGTCCTTAACTTGGGGTTGTACCTATCTGAAAGATTTCCCAGGACTCATTCATTTCATCTATGTGGATCGGACGGTTGGTCAAATGATTGCACCTTCGCTAAATGTGTCAGAAAAATCCACAGAGCTGGGGAAAGGACCATTGGCTTCATTTATCAAAAGCAAGGTACACCTTGGCAAGCTGGAGGAAACTAGGCTAGAGTCGTACAACATCGAAGCAGGTCCTTCGGCCCACCACGTCTATGCTGACCAACAAATACCAAACTACACTAATCCCATTTACCTGCACTTGGTCCATAGCCTACAATGCCCTGGCATTTTAAATACTCATCCACATTCTTCTTAAGTGTTGTGAGAGCATCCTCCACCACCATTTCAGGCAGCATATTCCATATTTCTGAGATAGTAGGAACTGCCGATGCTGGAGAATCAGAAAATGAAGAAGGGTCCAGACCCAAAACGTCAGCTTTCCTGCTCCTCTGATGCTGCTTGGCCTGCTGTGTTCATCCAGCTCTACACCTTGTTATCTCAGATTCTCCAGCATTGGCAGTTCCTACTACGACCTATGGTCTTAGACATGTCTGTCACAGGGAAGAGATTCTCATGATCTGCTGTGTCTATACCTCTTATAATTTTGTACAGTTCAATCAGATAACTCCTCAGCTACAAGGAAAACAAAGCCAGCATGTCCAGTCTCTCCTCATAACGGAGACTTTTCATTCCGGGCAACATCCTGGTGAATCTACTCTGCCCTCTCTCCAATGCAATCACGTCCTTCCAATAGTGTGGCGACCAGAATTGCACACTGTATTCCATCTGTGGCCTAACCAATGTTCTATAAAGTTGTAACACAACTCCCTTGCGCCAATATTCCACGCCCTGACTAATGAAGGCAAGCATTCTGTATGACTTCTTCGCCACATTGTCTACCCGTTGTATTCACCTTCAGAGATCTACGGACTTATACACCAAGGTCCCTTTGTTCCTCAGTACTCCCTAGGGACCTGCTATTCATTGTGTATGGCCTTCCTTTATTAGATACTCAAAATGCTCGCCTCAGACTTAGGCTATACTTTGTGTTGGGGAACTCAAGGGTCTTTTTTGGGAATTGAAATAATTTCAAAATGTATGATTAAATAAAGAGTAGTCTCTAGTCTCTATTACAATATGCCTTGGCTGGAAACTCAGATGAGCACCCAGTACCGGGCCACTACTCTATTTTTCTATTTCACTGCGTGCCGTCTCGCGAGCAGCGGTATTGCCAGGGGAAACATAGGAACTTGATTTTGTCCATTATTTTAGGACTTGGACTGAGTTTGTTCATTTCAAGATACAAAGTAATTTCAGTTCTTACCATTGTTCTGAGCTGGGTTGGACCCAGGCCCTCAGATTTGAAAAGCCAGTGTCATTACAGTACTCAGTTCCCTCAAGTTCATTGTAATTAAATAATCTGCACAAATGTTCTCCCATTCATTTCTTAACTTGAAAGAAGGTAGGAAGGTTGTAGTCACTGCTGCTAGGATTTTTTGTCTTAAGTGTGATTGCTCAGGTTTGGATAGATCAATGGTCTATAGCTTTATTGTCATTATGAATGATGGAGTAATCACATAAATATTTAAATAATAGTTGGGACCCTGCAGCAATTTTGAGTTTCTACTTGGTAACGAATGCTGTGTGTGTACCTTGTCGAGGTGGAATTGAATATGCAGACAGCAATCCTTACTGGGAGCACTGCAGGTTGCTGTCAAAGTATTCAAGACAAGTTACATTTCTGATGTTGTTTCTCAACCCCTTTTAGAATTTCATTTCTCTCCTGGTCAGCTTGGCTCTCTACAGAGGAGCATTTTTCGAGCTGCCTATTGGCAATTACTTAATATTGGAGCTTAATAATTAGGCAAATTAGTAGCATTGTAATGTGGCCCCTGTCTTCCTGCTCATTATCCACCTGGTCTATCTGCAAAACGATACGGTCCCTTGCTCACTCATCTCCTGTGTTGTCTACCTATAGGCTGTCTCGTTTACTCCTTCTCAGACTTCACCTTAGAGCCTTCAGTGATCATTGTCAATGGGCTTATTTTGGTACTTCTGCAAATAGCAGTAGTAATGACTACCCTGTGCTTGTGTGACGTCTTGCTGAGCAATAGGCTTATGCACTTTTAAACTACCTTGAGGTCACATAAGTCTTCAAATGTGGACAAATATGCAGAATTCCCTTTACTTTTTGATAATCCAAAGGGCATATCCCTTTGATCTGTGCCATTATTATCATCTGCTCAGTGTAATTATGATTTATTAAATATTTCATTCCATTATATCTGTTCCTGTGTGAATATTTTTAACTAAAGGTCTTCCTGTTTACTAGGTATGGTCCCTGGTTGGTATGGGGCGCCGGTATTTACAGAAGGGATACACCACGCTCACTTTCCGTGATGGAGACTACTACTGCTGCTATTTCCTTTGGTTTGAGAATGAAAGTGTGCGTATCTTTTCTAATTAGTCTTTTAACCAAGTGTGGACTACCCCACACAGACACAATAAAGGACATGTGTGAGCTTAGTTCCTTCACAGAGCTTTCGAATTATATCTTCAAGAAGGGGAAAGGAACATCTTAGAAGCAAACTGCAGGCTGGCTGAATACACCACTTAAGTAATGTCTCATATTAACAGATTCCAGCTGAGTTCCTTCGGATGAGAATTATATTTATTTCTTCTCAAGTTGTTGTGTGGCGGCAGTTGATAGAACCCTAATATTTTGTCTTCTTTCAATCTTAACGAATCAGGGATACAAGTTACCAGTTATAGAGCTGCCGGTGCTATCTGATGACTCTGCTCCGATTGGGATTTTGACTGGTGATTATTACAGGTATAACATTTTTGCAAAATCTTGTTTGGCTTCAAAGTATGAAGCTTCAGTGGTATGATTTGTGGATTGGGGGCTGGAATTATTGGTGGGAATGTTTGTGGAAAGCCTGAAGATTTTGTCTACGAGAAATGCACCAATGATTGTAGGGGCGCTGCAGCGGTGCGATGTACTGGACATCAGCAGATTGTACCAGAACAGAAGATAGGGCTTGAACCCATGATATTCTGAAATTAATCTCTGTTCTGAGGCAAACTTTAGCTGCTTCTCCAAAGGACTTCACTAGATGAAGGAGCAGCGCTCCAAAAGCTTGTGATTTCAAAATAAACCTGTCTGACTAAAACCTGGTGTTATGTGACTTGTCCACCCGAGTCCAACACCGGCATTTCCACATCATATTTAACCAGAGGAAGAGAGCAGAGATCCAAGCATGTAGTGCATTTGTACAAGTCTCTGACATGTGCATACCAGGAGTAAAGTGTGCAGTTTTGGTCATAATGCTATAACAAAGTTATTCAGGTATTGATGATTGTGTTGAAAGAAGATATCTAACTGGTTCTCAGCTTAAGGCAGCTGAGTTTGGAGGAAAGCTTGTGGACCTTGTTTATCTGGACAAGGGAAGGTTCATATTTAAGAATATTTAAGTATTCCAATGTTTAATTTGTCAGAGCAATTAAAACTTGAGAACACATTCAGTATTCCTAGGAACATCAGTCTGGATTTCAAAATACAACCGTGAATTGAAATAGCACAGAACACTGTCGGCCTGTCAGCTTCTGAGAAGAGAATAAGTTTGGATATTTTTTGGCTGGTAACCCTGTTTAAGAACTGAAAAGGAAGCATGTATGGAATTCAACAAAATAAAAACCAAGGGGAGATTAGGTAACAGTCACTTCTCAAATTTACTTGCATCTAGTTCACAGAAGCAACCAATATTTTATGGTATATTTTTAGTTTACTTGTGAGATAACCTAGGTTTGGTAACATATAATTAACATGGTAAGTAATACTCAGCTTCTTGTTTCTATATAAGTAATATCCATAATAGGCTTGTGTGCTGCTGTTATCTCTGGTTTTCATGTGAGGTGGTGATAGTAAGAGTTGGGGGGTGAAATATACTGAATCTAGATTTTACAACATGGGTCATGCAATATCTGTTCTGTCTCTTTCTCAGGAAGCTACTGCGATATTATGGCAAGAACCACAGCTTGGAGGTGATCAAGTGCTTTGAGCTTCTCACTATCCACCTGGGTGTCATTCCTACAGAGTTCATCATTCAGCAGTGCTCTGACCTGGCACGCAGATTATGGGAGCCCTCACGCATCCCACTCCTTTAAACAGCAGGGCAGAGATCACTGGAAGCTTGGGGAATGGGCATCTGTGTTGGTGAAATCAGATGTTAATAGAAAGGACAAACACTCAGAAAAACTGCTACAGATAGGAGATAGTGCTGCATATTTGAATTGGAGGCCACAATAAGCTCAGGGGACAGTGGCAGGTGTAACCCAGCAGTCAGTAAGCTTCAAGCTTTTGAAATCCAGTTGGCTCCTGTGTCTCGGTTATGAGATTCCCCCCCATTGCTGCAAGTCCCATCTGAGTTTCAAATCCTTTCTCTGTGGCTAGTGCAGTTTAGAAGGTGAGAAGTAGGAAATGGATTGAATTCATTTTTGATGGAACTTCACCATTTAGCATTTTGGTAGGTTTTGGGTGAGTATATGGAGGAAGACCAGAATGGCAACCAATACATGTTTTTGGGTTGTTTGGTTTCATATTCAGGTGCCCAACCAGATTGTTGCCATTGTAGTTAAATTTCTGCCCTCCAAAGTGGAGATACATCTTGCTTCACATTCAAGCGTACAAACAACATGTTTTTATTTTATGACGCATGATCTGTGTTGAGTAGCTCACTTCAATGAGATGGCAGCTGTCTGCCTCATTGGGTCCTGGGCTAGGAAAAGTAGAACTGGTTAAACCCTCTGTCACCTGATGTGAGCTTCAGGAAGTATGTGTTAGGGGTTAGTGACTAGATTTCACTTCACTGCTTCTTGCCATAAAGATTAAAAATCCATCTTGGCTTGTGGATATTAGTGTTTCGGAGCAGGCAGACTTAAGTGTATCCCAGCAGGATACAGGAACAGTAGTGGGGCCAGGGTTATGGGTATTATAGGGAGATAATAATGAAGATTAAGCTGGTGTTTCTTTTACTGTAAAGCACTTACAATGTGGAACTTTGCTACCATGTGGAGAAGATCAAGTGGATAACACGGACATATTCGGGGGTGGGGGGGTGGTGAAATTAGACAAATACATGAATGAGAAAGAAATAGAAGGATAGGCTAACACAGTGAGGTGGTAGAGGCTCATGTGGAGCATAAACACAGCATGGACCAGTTGAGCCAAGGGGCTCTTACTGTGCTGTTAATTCTGCTTACTGACTTGTCATTGAGTAGAGATGTACACTACTTTCACTGAATAGATTAATGCTTTTAATTTCTTTTGCTGAAAACATTGCATATTTTATTTTATTTTATAGACTGGTAATGTCAAAATCAAAACAATAAACACTAGAAGATTTCAGCAAGTCAGGTGTCCACTGATATGGAGAGAACTAAGCTGTTTGTGAGTTTTGTTAAAATAGAAGTTTCTGCACTTGGATGTGATTTCCACATTCAGTAAACATGACACTAAATTGTACTAACATTCTAGCAAAACAGACACAAAAATAGCTTGACAGAACTGCATGGTGACTGCTGAAAATTGAACTTTAGAAAATTGGACATTCTTTCTGATGTAGCAGCGGTCTTATCCTTTTTTTTCTCTAGTCCTTCTGCTTAATAACCTTCATCTTTGCCATCTCCCTTGATCTTCTCTCCTGTTAAGGAATGAGTTCAGAGAAAAGGATCTGATAGGCTGCAATCAAAGAAGCTCTCAAAACCTGGGACACTTCAGATGTGCAAATCTATACCATTTTACGTTACATCAAAGACTTTTACACTTTTCACTTTACATAATTCAATCTTGTTTCACTGGAACGTTGCTGAGCTCTTTGATGTCTGAATTAGTTTCTTCCCCTTGATTCTTTTTCTTCTTTTGATTCTGTCTTGGACCACAGGATTTTAAAACAATTAGTGGCTTTAGATTTATTAAAGAGAATTTTACGCACCAAAGCTCAGAGTCCAGCTCAATGTTTCAAGTTTCAGGGAGAAATTAACCAAAGTGTATGAGTGAGACAAAAAGCAGTTGACAGGTGCTCAACAAACAATGAAGACTAGAATAGATTTTTTAAAAAGGCCAAAGCTTGAAATGTTGTTGCTTTAAACAATATGTTAGTACTTTTTTGAAGGGAGCTAATAAAAGGAAGGTTCTGTAGATTTGGATCAAATCAAACAAAAACTCAATGACGTGAATTATGCAGTGAGTAGATAGGAAGAAAAATTAACTTATCGTGTTGACAAATCAACTAATTATCATGTTGACATGTGAAAGAAATAGTATGACAGTGTTACCACTCTTATGGGAGGAAGGCACTGGTAATCAAACTGCACTGCTCCATGAGTGGACTGATTGTGAACAGGAGGAGGTGATAGGACATTGTCGCTCATTTAGTAATCCAGAGACACTGGTGATTTTCCGAGGGTTTGGGTGGAATTGGAATTCAATGCAAATCTGCAATTTAAAGTCTAATAATGACCATGAAACTATTATTAATTATCGTATAAACCCATCGGGTTCACTAACTAATGTCCTTTGGGGAAGGAAAACTGCAATCCTTACCTGGTCTAGCCTAATATGACTCCAGTACACAGCAACATGGTTGATTCTTACATCCCCTCTGAAATATCCTCAAAGCTGTTCAGTTGTACTAATCAGCATCAACTAAGACATTGGAAACAACAGTGGTAAACACAGCCCTGTTGACCCTGTGAAGTTCTCTCTACTAAGGGAGACTGTCTCATGGACTTGTCAAGTAAAAGCCTAACAGTCATATTCACAAGATCATACTTACAAGCAATGTTCTAGACAACATCATTACCATTCCTGGGTTCTCATTCCAATGACAGGATAGACCAGCAAGAGGGCGTGGCACAGCAAGAGGGAGCTTCCCTGGAAGTCTTCAATATTGATTCTGGACCTGTCATCAGGTGAAACATGGCTAAGGAAACCTCTTGCTGATTACCACATAACCCCCACCCCCGCCAAGATCAGCTGTTGAGTCAGTGCTCCTCGATATTGAACAATACATGAAAGAAGCGCTGAGAGTGCAGAATGTGCACTGGGTGGGAGATTAGCACCAGCACTGAGATCAAGTCGAAAGGACATAGCTGCTAGAGTGAGTCTGTGGCAGGCGATAAGCAAAGAGCATTCTTGACCTCATCCTCACCAGTCTGCTTACGCAGATGAATGTGTCCAAGACAGTACGGAAAGAGTAAACACCACGCAAACCTTGTGAAGATGAAGTCCCGTATTTTACATTGAGAATACCCTGCATTGTGTGGCATTATCGTGCTTAATAGGATAGACTTTGAACAAATCTGGGAACAGAAGAATGGGCACCCACGAGGCACTGTGGGCAATCAGCAGCAGAATTATGCTTTGCAACCTCATGGCCTGGCATACTTCACCAACCCCCGCCCCCCCCTCCATCCACCTCCAGTTCCCCCAACCCCACAACTACCATTAAGCCAGGGCATCAACCAGGGGATTCAATGCAAGAGGGCATGCCAGGAGCAGCACCAGACATATCTAAAAATGAATTGCCAATCTGGTGACATTACAAAACAGGATTACTTGCATGCCAAACAGCATAAGAAAGAAATGATGGAGCTAAATGATTCCGCAACGAATGGCAATTTGCAGTCCTGTTACTTCCAATCATGGATAACAAGGTATAGAGCTGGATGAACACAGCAGGCCAAGCAGCATCGGAGGAGCAGGAAAGCTGACGTTTCGGGTCTTGACCTCTACTTCCAATCATGATTTGCGGACAATTAACGACTCACTAGAGGAGGAGATAGTAAGAACAGTGGATGCTGGAGTCAGGGATAACACAGTGTGGAGCTGGAGGAACACAGCAGGCCAGGTAGATACAACTCACCATGAACATAGAACATAGAACAGTACAGCATAGTACAGGCCCTTCAGCCCACGATGCTGTGCCGATCTATTATCCTACTAAGATCAATCTATCCTGCATACCCTACATTTTACTATCCTCCATGTGCCTATCCAAGTGTCGCTTAAAAGTCTCTAAAGTATCTGACTCCACTACCACTGCTGCACCGGGACCCACTTCCCCTCGCGTTGCACTGCACACCCACCACACTCTGTGTAAAGAACCTACCTCTGACATCTCCCCTATACCTTCCTCCAATCACCTTAAAACTATGCCCCCTCATAATAGTCATTTCCACCCGTGGAAAAAGTCTCTGGCTATCCACTCTATCTATGCCTTTCATCATCTTGTAAACCTCTATCAAGTCACCTCTCATCCTTCTTCGCTCCAATGAAAAAAGCCCTAGCTCCCTCAACCTTTCCTCATAAGACCTGCCCTCCAGTCCAGGCCGCATCCTGGTAAATCTACAATGTGTTCTAGTAAGTGTTCTAGTAACTTGTTTTATAACTGCAGCATTTTCTCTCACAGTTGCCTTGGTTTAAAGCAGCAGTCTTGTCCCACTTTTAGTCCACAGTACAAAAGAACAAGTGGTCTTCACGCTAAACTGAACTGATTAACCTAGTTAACTAATGAGCTAAGTTCCAGCAGAGTTTTTTTTATCTTGTCTGATGTTGGGAGGAACTCGTTTTCCTTTTTTTGCCTTAATTAAATTCTTAGCCCAGTTACAAAAAAAATGCTAGCTATAGTCCTAGAAAAATATTGACTCTTAACTGACCTCTCATCAAGCTTGCTCTCTCCATTATATTCAATAACATCTCCAATATGCGAGAAAAAAAATTCCAGATCTGTCGAATAGTGAAAGGTTCAGTGGCTGATTTGTAACTCCTCCAAAACATAATGTTGGTCAGACAATAGAATTGTGAGCGTCTGAAAAACCACATCTCTGGTAAGTTAGCAATCGAGTGATTAAATGCGAATCAATCGAAACTGAACAAGTAAACTGCAGCCAACTGAGTAATCACACAGGAATGACTCAGCTGTTTGTTTTTGGTGACCTTCGTTTAAAAACCACGTTTTGTGCCAAAATTAAATTTTAAACATTCTCAATAATATCATTAACCAACCTGAAGGTCACTTGATTTATCTTCATTCTGAATGTTGGTTAGTTGCCTGCACAGCTTGTGGTCTTCAGCAAATTTCACACAACGAAGGAACTTCTTTCCAAAATGTTTATGAAACCTTACAACAGAGGACATGGAGGTATTTTCCAACCATCCACTTCCAGCTAAGAATAGCTGCTTTTAATGCAGAGGATGGCTGATTGATTTCCCGCTAATTCTGTGAGGTGCAGTTGTTAACAATCATTTTCCATTGTCAAGTGTACAGAAAACATACACCGATGAAGCTCTCCAGAAATTAGTTCTTTGGGTTTTTCTCTTTGATTTGGGTGCGTACTCAGCGCTCATTAATATATTTCCACGCCAGCATTCCCAATTTTCCTGCACAAGTGTCAGGTCAAGTTCACTGTCACTGGCCTGAAGGTAATTCCCATGTTTATGGGGATGCTGTGCTGCATTCTTATTATTTCCCTTCACTTTCTCATCTTCATTTGCCTTGAAATTCTGACTTCGCAATGTGATAGCAGTAGCATACGGTGTAAGCATTCTAATTCATAACTGAAGTTCGTAAATAATTAGCAGAAGATTTTGAGAGGAATTTTCTTTGCACAGTAGATTGTTACATTCTGGAATGCACTGCCTGAAAATGGATGGAATTAGATTCCATCTGAACTTTCAAAGAGCAATTGAGCATGTACCCGGAGAGAAGTAACATGCAGGATTATGGAGAGTGACACTAACTGGCTAGCTTTTTTCGAAAGAGCTGGCATGGGCATGTTAGCTGAACAGCATATGCAACAAGGATTCTCTGTTTTTAGAAATGTAACATTCATCAGTCTGGACTACTGTTGAAATAGATCCTTCTTGAACTAACACCTGATAACATGATTTTGCCCTGGACTATTTATTGCACAGTCTTCCTCCGTTGTGCTCTGGATCTCACCTTTCAAAGTACCAGCTGTATTAATTATTTAGTATCTTCCTGTTGAAATAGCTGTGTAATAATATACCCTACCTTGCAGCATTGGCAGGGAGGGCTCTGATAAATAAAAGGCTTGGCCTCTGTTCCAGTCTTATAATTAATAGGTTTGAGAATCCAGTGTCAAAATCTCAGAGGCTTTAATCTGTTATTAATAGTAATATAGAAATTGTAGGACCAAGATAAATCATTTGATTCAATATCATAAACAAAATAAACAAACAATTATTTATGCCTGCTTACAGAAAAACTGCCCATTTGGGAGAATCTGGGCTGCCTGGGAGATTATATTGGGCTTCCTGCCCGGAATGCATTTAGTCTCTCAAACAAACAATTGGTGTCAACTAACAGATTCCTGCTTTCACAACGTTCAATGCAAAACTGAAACTGCATCTGGGTCCAACTTTTATCTGAATTACTCAAGGTTAGGTTCTTTGCACTGTTCAACAGAGTGCATACATTTTAATTTGAGTGTCCTGAACGAGTTTATCTTCAGATATTTCTTGTGTATTAAAATCACGCATCATTTCATGATTTCAGTTTGATTCTTTGCTAGCTATTAACTTGCTTCAGTTTTGGCTTTCTTGCTAATCTTGTTTTAGCTGTGTCTCCTGTCTTGTAACATCCACAAAAGTTGTTTGGGCTAACTGAGTGCCTGCAAGTGTACCAACTCTGGTTAACTCACCCCTCCACAATGGCTGTGCGACCATTTTCTGCTTAAATCTCCCATTTGGAAAATGGAAGAACACTGTGTCATTTGTGTGGAACTTGTCTATGCTTGAACATATTTGGCACAACATGAAGATGTTGCTGAAATATTCCTTTTGTTTTAAATGTTTAAAAGATTGAGATTTCAACAGTGGGCTGTGGATCTCCAGTGTCCTTCTACCACCTTATCCCATTAGTAAGGTCATTGACAACATTGGCTTTCACCAAAGAAGCGAGGAAGCGTTTCTCACGATTCACATTGTGCACAGCTTGAGCATTCATCGCATTCATCCGGACTGTTTCATAATAATGTAAAGGCAGGTCTGGCCGTGTCATGTCGTAGCCAAAACCAGCAACATTAACCTCATCACATAAGTACAGGGCTGTGACGATGGAAATCACTCCTAGTGTTGGAAGCACCTGGCAAAAAGGAACACAGAAACAGTAACGACAGGAATAAAATAAATCACACAGTGAGTCTTAGTCTCGAATATACAGTCTGAAAGAGTGTGGAAGCAGATTGAATAGTAACTTTCATAATGCAAACAGATAATGAAAATTAGATCAAGCTGAGACACATTGCTGAAGCTTTTCATCTTGCACATGTCAGGACAAGTACAAATGTTCAAATGATTGCAGCAATTTCTGCTGCAGGAGGTGGTAGAATATCCCTTAATGTCCCGTGTACACTAATACAGCAGAACAGGAGTACTGTGAAAATATTTACAATGGCTGTCTCTAATGGTGCATTTAAGGTACAAGTGCCTAGGTACAAATCTTGGATAGAAAAGAGGAATAAAAGGAAAAGTAGCAGCATGACTTGAAGTGTCTAAAAACATAAGTTAGAAATAAGATATTTATTTCCCCTCGCGCTGCACCGGGACTCCCTTCCCCCCTCGCGCTGCACTGGGACTCCCTTCCCCCTCACGCTGCACCGGGACTCCCTTCCCCTCGCATTGCACTGGGACTCACTTCCCCTTGTGCTGCACCGGGACTCCCTTCCCCCTCACGCTGCACTGGGACTCCCTTCCCCTCACGCTGCACCGGGACTCCCTTCCCCTCGCGCTGCACTGGGACTCCCTTCCCCTCGCATTGCATTGGGACTCACTTCCCCTTGTGCTGCACCGGGACTCCCTTCTCCTCGCGCTGCACCGGGATCCCCTTCCCCTCGCGCTGCACTGGGACCCCCTTCCCCTCGCACTGCACCGGAACTCACATCCCCTCATGCTGCACCAGGACTCCCTTCCCCTTGTGCTGCACCGGAACTCCCTTCCCCTCGCCCTGCATCGGGACTCCCTTCCCCTTGCACTGCACAGGGAATGCTACAAAGAAAGAAAAAATAGAAAAGAAAGAAAAAGAACAGGTGGAGCAGAGGAACTCCGGGTGGAGTGTGCTAATCTGCCGCCATCTTGCCAGAATAAAAAATGTGCTGTTTGGTGTAGCAAGTCAACTCTGATTGGCTGAGACATTGCTGAGGAGAAAGCAACATGAACTGGTTTAGTTGGTATTGGTGTTAGCACGGACTGGTTGGACCGAAGGGTCTGTTTTTGTGCTGTATGACTCTAACTCTATAACTAGGTTCTTGAAACTCCTGGGCAATTCGGAAGGGCATGAGGATCAAATATGTTCCAACAAAAAATGCAGAGTTCTGGGAAACAGCAATGAGTGGAGTAGGACTAAACAAGTTGGCCTTTCAAAGTATTGGCACAAAAACCACAAACGGCCTCCTCCTTTTGGGTATCATTCTATTAAGCCGTGCTGTATGGAATTTTCATTTAGTCCTTTGGAGAAGCCCATTTTATTCCCAGACTGTCTCTTAGCTGATTTATCACTGATTTGGCCTGACCTAGTGTCCTGAGGGACAGCTCTGTCTGAACACTCAATGATCTCCAGTAACAGTGGAGCCAAAGTACAGCATGTTCTTTCAAAGCCTGAGCTTGCTGCCCAGTATTAAATCTCTCGCTGTCACAAGGCAATATGTGCTGGCGATAGGCAAGGTTCACCACTTCCAAATTCTACACTCACTATAATCTATTCTTCCCACACCATTGTTATCCAACTCCTTTCCCAATTCGTTGTCTTACTCCTTTTGTTTGTGAAATCAGCCTCTTAGATCCATCAGATCCAGCAACGATGGGGTCATAGGGTGGATATTGTTACTTCTAAACAGACATTCTCAGCATTTAAGTTCCATTGGCAAGTCCTGTCCCTAATTGTTCTCTGACCTGTCTTCATTAACCTCTGCAGTCCACGTGCTGTAACTCATTCACGATGCTGTTACAAAGAGAGTTCCAGGAGTTTGACCCACTGATAAACAATTTCCAAGTCAGGACATTGTCATTTGGAGGGGAACCTGAAGGGTGGCAGTGTCCCATATATCTGCTGCTCCTATCCTTCTGGATGATAGTGGTTGGGGGTTTGGGAAGTTTGCAAGTTGCTGCAGTGCATCTTATAAATGCTGCCACTGTGTATTGGTGATGGAAGGGGTAAATGTTGAAGGAGGTGAATGGGGCACTGTTAAAGACAATTCAGTAATTGTAATACCGTTACTGTGTCCTGGATGGATGATGTTGAACTTCTCAAGTCTTTACAGAATATAGAACATAGAACAGTACAGCACAGTACAGGCCCTTCGGCCCACGATGTTGTGCCGAACTTTTACCCTAAACCCAAGGTCTATCTAACCTCCACCCCTACCTTATACTATCATCTATATGCCTGTCTAATAGCCGCTTAAGTGCCCCTAATGAGGCCGACTCCACTACCCTCTCCGGCAATGCATTCCACGCCCCTCCCACTCTCTGAGTAAAGAACCTACCTCTGACGTCTCCCCTATATCTACCTCCACTCACTTTAAAACTATGCCCCCTCATAATAGCTACCTCCACCCTAGGAAAAAGTCTCTAGCTGTTTATGAAGGTGAACTCATCTTGGGTGAAAAGATGATTGGAGTTAGGATATTCACATTGAGTAAAGTAGTGGCAAGCAAGAAAAGAGTCACAAAGAAGGGATGGGTAAGAATAGACTTTTATCCAATTCTGCATTATTGTCCCCATAAGTCTATTTAATCAAGAAACAGGGTGGAAGGAAAGGGTGAATTTTGTCCAGATCTTGCTGTACATGAGCGTGGACTTGCTTTATAATTGGAAAAGTTGACAATGGAACTGAACAATGTGCAATTTGACCTGCTTTTTTAGTATTTACATGGTAGCGTCAATTCAGTTTCTGGCCAATGGTAATTCTCAGAGATATTGATAGTGGAGGATTCAGTGATGATAATACTATTGAATGGCACGAGGAGATGGTTATATTCTTTCTTATTAAAGATGTTCGTTGCTTTATGTAGCATAAATTTAATTATCAGCTAAATCGTGGATATTATCCAGGTTTGGATGCATTTGAATATGGATTGCTTCAGTATCTGAGGAGTCACGAAGGGTGCTGAGCATTGTGCAATCATCAGTGAACATCCCCACTTCTGACCTTATGATGGAGGGAAGGTCATTGATGAAGCGGCGGAAGATAGTTGGGCCTAGGACACGACGATGAGGAACTCCTGCAGAGGTGTCTGAAATAACTGACCTCTAACAACCACAACCACTTTGCTTTGTTCGAGGTATGACTCCAAACAGTGGAGAGTTCTCCCTAAATTCCTTCTGATTTAAAATTAACCAGGGGTTCCTTGAAATCAACACCTCAGCTTACCACTGAAATTCTGATCTTTTATCCATGTTTGGATGAAGAGTGCCGTAACATTTGAAGTGAAAAATTCCCACTGGAATCCAAACACAGCAATGGGAGAAGGTTACTGGAATAGCTTGTCTTCTCTCAAAGACCATTCAAACTTGCAGATGCCATGCTTTACTGGAGTGTAATTCACTTTCCATTAAAGCCATTGGGAAAGAACATTGGGCAGAGTGTAAACTGGATGAGCAACTGTTTCTCGTCTCTCATACTTCACTCTCTAAAACAAATTTAATGTTCAATGTGCACTCGCCAGGTTCTGGATTAAATAAAACTATTGGGGCAATGATATAGATCCTGTTATTAAAAACCAATCCCTACCCATTCAGTAAGATGGCAGTGGGGTAAGTCACTCCCTTAGGAGCTCCACCCTGCTCGCCAGTTCCCTTTCCTTTCTTTTCCTCTCCATCTTCTCTCTCCTCACTGCAATAATTCTATCCCCCTCCCCAAACCCCTGCCCTTTTATTAACTACCCACGGAAGGAACTGGGAAGGAGTCGGGTCGCGACCAGGAACCATATGGCAGGAGCTGAACATGTGGGTTGTGTCCTGCAGCGATTGCAGATCGAGCGTGGGCCAGTTTGGCGGTGAGAGCGGGGCTGGTGAGGGGGCAGTGGGCGGTGAGAGCGGGGCCGGTGAGGGGGCAGTGAGCGGTGAGAGCGGGGCTGGTGAGGGGGCAGTGGGCAGTGAGGGGGCAGTGGGCGGTGAGAGTGGGGCCGGTGAGGGGGCGGGGGGGGGTGAGGGGGGAGTGGGCGGTGAGGGGGGGGCCAGTGAGGGGTTAGTGGACGGTGAGAGCAGGGCCGGTGAGGGGGCAGTTGTTGGTGAGGGGGCATTGGGCAGTGAGAGCGGGGCCGGTGAGGGGGCAGTGAGTGGTGAGAGTTGGGTCGGTGAGGCGGTGGCGGTGAGAGTGGGCCTTTCGCACGGCGATGGCCTCTTGGGTGTCCTAGTGATTGGAGCGGCTCCAGCACCGTTGTGGAGCTGGGACTTGTGACTCTGAGATCTGCTCTTTTCTCCTTGCTTACCTTTTGGCTCTGGCAACACCTTTCAATTCTGGTTTTCGTTACCAAGTGAGCGCCAGTGAATGGCAACTTTGTGAAGTTTTCACTGGACTCATGTATTCCTGTACTTGGTACATGCGACAAATAAATAAATCTAAATAAATCTAATTCTTTAAGCCTTTTGCGAAGCTCTCTGCTGCTTCAGCATTGTGGATTTTCTAATCATCCCAATTTCCCCTTCTTCCAGAATGTTCTGTCCCTCCGTACTTCCATTGTTTACCAGAACAATGTGCAGGCTCTCTTGTCTCTCCTTGATCGGAAGGTCTTTGTTCATCTTTCTCTATTTTCCTTTTCCTGTAGTTACTCAAAACTCCACAATACATTGTGTCTTGTAGTTACAAGCACTGGGTTTAGCATGCTGTGCATTTTCAGCACTTTCTGTGTTTATTCCATAGCTCAATGGGATTTTGATAGCAGCAAATGAGGAGTAACCATTTCCAGTGGTGTGACTGTCCCTAACCAGAAAATCCAGGCTTCAGTTAATTAGCAAAACGATCAGACTGAGAGAGGAAGAGAATCTCTTTTACACAGCAAGTTGTTGTAATTTGGAATGAAATGCCCAGAAGGCAGTAGAAGCAGAATTCAAGAATAACTTTCAAAAGGGAATTGGAAAAATACTGAAAGGGGGAGATTTGAAGGGTTATGGGGAAAGAGCAAAGGAATGGAACTGATTGGATAATTTTTCAAAAAACCAGCAGAAGTTAAATAGGCAGAATGGTAGTTTGGTCCCTGTGATTGGATAATGGTTTGCCTGGTCGGATGCATGGAGCTTTAATGGAGAGAAGATAGAATTGAAGAGTCATACCTGCTTCCACCTCCAATGGTTGTCGTGAGGCTCTGGGAAGCCCAATAGATTCAGCGCTGCTTCTCTGACGATATCCAAGTTTAATACTCGATAGTTTTGTGATTCTAAAGGGATTGACTCAACCACTGACTGCCAAAACCACATCTTCTGCCAAAGATTCTATAGGAAAAAGAAATCGTCGAATGAAATTCCAAAGGTTACACCATATTCCCACAAATCAGCATGCAACACAGGGAAAAGTGAACAGTTTACTCTAAAGTTTCACTTTGCAAATAGCACCTCAGCCTATTTGCCAATGAAACCCAGGCTGGTCTCCTGTAGACAATTATGGGTTTGTGACTGCTTACACAAACCTACTGATCTCACACCAGGACTAGTGATCAAACATAGGTGCTGTTTATTTGATAGAGGATGTTTAATATTATTTGATAGAGGATTTATTATAGAACCTCAACAATTATAGTTACAGGTAAGCACAGCCTGACCACGTGCTGAAAATTAGATTGAGAATAGTTGCTAGACACATGTTTTATACCCTGGCTCATTAGCATGTTCCCTCTTAAACTGATATTACAAGATGGGCGTGTAGTTTGTGTCAGACAAATGAGAAAGTTCTGCTCTGTGCCGCACCTTTCAGTATGGCAACTTTGCGCATGATTTACACAAATCTAGTTCTGTGTATGTATTGTGACAACTCCTGTGTGCCACAAACTGGTTCTGTGCTGATATGCAGAACTTACTGCACAATAATCTAAATCTATCTAAGAATTAGGGCTGGAAACTATCCAGTTTATGACAGAGATGTTTAAAAAGGTTCCTTAGCTGTGTTTTTTTTTAAATTGTTGATGGGTTACAGATGTATCTGTTTAGTTATTTTCAAACCCTAATTGCCCAATGGCAGTTAAGGGTCAACCACATTACTGTGGGACGGGAGTCACATGCAGAGTAAGGATGGCAGTTTCCTTCCTTAAAGGGTATTAATGAACCAGATGGGGTTTTAAACCACACTTGGCTATTCTTGAATTTACTGAAGTGACCACACACCTTGCTGTAACGGACCAATAAAGTATTTGTCAACCATCTCTGTGGATAGGATATATGACTATCACAATGAACTGTAATAGAAGAGGATAGAATCCCTACAGTGTGGAAGCAGGCCATTCGGCCCAACAAGTCACATGGACCTTCTGAACAGCATCCCCCCCCATCCCTGTAACCCTGCATTTTCCCATGGCTAACCCACCTAGCCTGCATGTCCCTGGGCACTATAGGCAATTTAGCCAATCCACCTAAACTGCACAACTTTGGACTGTGGGAGGAAACTGGAGCAACTGGAGGAAACCCACACAGACACGGGGAGAATGTGCAAATTTCACACAGACAGTCACCCGAGGCTGAGAATCGAACCTCGGTACCTGGTGCTGTGATGACAGCAGTGTTAACCACTGAGCCACTGTGATATGGAATCCAATTTTGCTCTTTCAACTCAGTAGCACTCTTCAAGTTTGACTAAGGTGATGGAGTTAGAGTTATCCAACACCAGAGTTGGCTGGTGTTATCTTTCATGAAGAAACTAGATGAAGTACAATTTTGCACTTGTGGAGTTGATTTAGAGTGGAGATTATGTTACATGGAAACAAGTGAGGGGAGAGGATATGATGGTGGTACTTCTGCAATGTGAAAAGCAGGAAGAAAGTTCAGAAGAGCAAGGACTCAGGCCATCTCTGGACAAGGTTCAGAAAAGATTTACAAGGATATTGCTGGGACTGGAGGGTTTGATCCATAGGGAGAGGCTGAATAGGCTGGGGCTATTTTCCCTGGAACATTGGAGGCTGAGGGGTGACCTTATAGAGCTTTATAAAATCATGAGGGGCATGGATAGGGTGAAAAGCCAAGGTTTTTTTTTACCCAGCATAGGGGAATCCAAAATTAGAGGAGATAGGTTTAAGGTGAGAGGGGAAAAATTTTAAATGGATGTAAGGGGCAGTGTTTTCACTCAGAGGATGGTGCATGTTATGGAATGAGCTGCCAGAGCGGGTAATGGAGGTGGGTAAAATTACAACATTTGGATGGGTACATGAATAGGAAGAGTTTAGAGGGATGTGGGCCAAATGAGGGAGTAGATTAATTTAGGATATCTGGTCAGTATGGACCAGTTGGACCGCAGGGACTGTTTCCATGCTGTACAGCTCTATGACTGGATGATTCTCGAGGAAAACAAGACTGGTTGCAGAAGGAATTGCAAGTAAAAAGAGAGAGACCATTCACTAGACTCTGTCATTTCCTTCGGTTAACGATTACGACAAAGCTGTTCAGAAATGGCAGCAGCAATACAAGATGTTGTTAAAAGGACACATTTCGAGATGGCAAAGGAACTGCTTATTTACCATTGGCTCCTTCCTGACCATTGCCTTTAGCCAAGCAAGGTCTGTGCTTTTGTATGTCACCATCACAAGCAGTGAGCTTGGATCATATTCCTGGGGAGATAGGGGAGCACCTTCTGGGTATGTAATCCTCAGTGTGGTCTTCCATCCCACATCGTTCTCATGACCTACCACGGGCCCATTATTCATCCTGATGGGTAGAAAGAAATCAATCCAAAGAAAGGGTATGAGATCAGATACCTCTAGTATTTAGATATGAGCACATGTGTGTATGTGTGTATACATCTGCCCATGATGAAAAAGCTTTCATATCTACTCATTGTTTCTATTCATTTCCAAGATGCTGGTGTCGCTGGCTAGGCCAACATTCATTGCCCATCCCTAATTGCCCAGGGAGCAGTTAAGAGTCAACCACATTTCTTTGGGTCTGGAGCCGCATGTAGGCCGGACCAAGTAAGGATGGCAGTTTGCCTCCCAACAGAACGTTAGTGAATCAGATGGACTTTTCCTGGCAATTGATAACTGTTTCATGGTCATCATTAGACTCTTAATTCCAGATTTTTATGGAATTCAAATGCCACTATCTGCCATGGCAGGATTCAAAGTCAAGACCCCAGAACATTACCAGGGTCTCAGGATTAATAGTTTAGCAGTAATACCAGAACATTACCTGGGGTAGGCCATTAATAGTCTAGTGATAATACTTGTTAAGCTTACTCCCTATGTCACAACTTAAATGGAAAAACTTCTATATCGATATATCACTCTGGAAAAACCCTATGTCAACATTTTCTAATGGGCAACAATGTGCAGATGCTTACAGCCAGATTTTGCTGGTGAAACAAACAACTGATAATACTTTCAGAAAAAAATTATGTCTATTATTTCACAGTAAGTGAAAGTTCTAATGTTCAAAATAATGTTTGAAACAATATTCAAAAATAATGTTGAATAACTTGGTTTGAATAAATGGTTTAACATGAAAAGTACTTTTCACAACTGTATTAATGAACTAGAGATTGTGAGACAGAAAAATATATTTTCGACCTTCAGGTAGAGGTCAACCTAGGGAACTGTCTGTCAATTACATTAATTAGCCTGAAACATGCGCCAAGATCTGTTGACAGCTGAAGAGATATTAAGAGGAAAGGGAATCTAATGGAAAGAACAAGATTCCAAGTGTTGAGGCTTGGAAAAGAATGAGTTAGAGTCAAAGATGCTCGAAACAGCTTCCTGAACCTCCAATATGACAACTTATTAGAAACCAGCAACTCATTAGAAGTTCTTCAGAGGACTATGACTGACATGCTGAGTCATGAACTTAACGCTGAATAGGGAAAACAGCAGTAACCCTCCTGTCCTCATTCAAGGAATACATTCTACACAATCACTGCTCTCCCCTTTCTCCATTGCCGATGCTCCCAAGGTTTGGATTGACATTCCTGTTATATATTTTCAGATCTGTGCAGAGGTAACACTAGTTTGCAGCATCTTTATTTGCAGTGTTTTAAAGCATCTACCTCATGCTTCTAGTTCTAGCTCTTTCTCCAGTCCGTTGACCTTTCTCTAAGTCCACACCCAGTCTTAATCAATCAAACACATTATGCATCAATAGTGAACAGACTCAATTCATCAAATGCAGAACAACTGAACACTGCAGCTATACCCTTGCCTGATCATCCCCTCCCCAACCTAGTCTCCCCTCTTCACTCGCAAGACACTTCTTACTGGCATTACAGTGATCTGACCCTGGATCGTGCTTTGTTACACTTTGCTGTTCTTCAGCCTGATGTTAATAGGGTCCAAAGCACTTGAAAGGGCACTTGAACCATTCCAACACAGGGTCCGCTCCAACATCCACTTCTGCCAGCCTCGCATATACACAACGTTTAAGACCTTGGAAAGAAAGATTTGCATTCATACAGTATTCACCGTGACCACAAGGTGTGTTAAAGCAATTTACAAACAGTGTGAAACAAATATGGAGAACGCCGGAGAAACTCAGCAGGTCTGACAGCATCTGTGGAGCGAGAAACTGAGTTAATGTTGAGCCCAATATGACTCAAGAATCAGATGCTACCATTCCTGTTGAGTTTCTCCAATGTTCTCTGCTTGTTTTAGATTTCCAGCATCTGCAGTATTTTGCATACAGATAATGTAATTTTCTTTTGCTATTATAAGGCTGTAAGAAATGGGAACAGGAGCAGGCCATTCAGCCCCTCGAGCCTGCTGTGCCATTCAATAAGATCATGGCTGATCCAAAGTTCCTCACAGCCACTTGCCAGCGTTATTCCCTGATCGATCAGGGATCTATCTCAGCCTCAAATATAGACAAGGAATTACAATTATAATGTAGGAAACTCAGCAGCCGCGTTGTGCACAGCAAGATTTCAAAATAGCAATTAATGATGAACAGGTAATCAGCTTTGGCAACGTCGACTGATGGATAAATTTGACCAGAACAGCATGTGTGTCGTACGTAATCCTCTTGAAAATAGAGCCCAGTATTAGTTTGCACCCATGGCAGGCAGATGTCTCATCCAAAGACGGCAAGTGCCTTTAACAATGCAGCACTCCCTCTGTCTTGCGCTGAGGTGCCAGTCTTCATTTTCGTGTTAAAAACCGTAGAGTGGGGCTTGACACCAGAAGCCTGAGCCTCAGTTTGCGCGAGTGTTACCCACTGAGCTAGTTCTGATGAAATATCGCAGGATGGAGGGAGGGAATGTTGGCTGGAGAGAGCAGAGTTCGGGTGAAGCAAGTTCAGAAAAGACTTGCTCCATTGATAATGATTGGAGACACCTGGCATACAGCAGCTGGGACAGTGATGATCAGGCCTCTGTCAGACAACAAGCTGTTAACTGTCTGATATTCAGGAGTGAGAGTCTGAACTTCCCCAGACGGAGAAACAGCAATCAAACCAGGGCGAGACTTGCGTTTCCTGGAGATATTGAACTGAAACACGTTTGGATTGAGAAAGGAAATAGTTAGTCATAGTGGTACAACAAATAAAATTCTGCAGATGCTGGAAATCTGAAATGTAACCAGAAAATGCTGGAAACATTCAGGCAGCTTCTGTCTTGAAAAGTAATGGTACAGAGAGTTTGAAATAGGAGACCAGCCAATGATTTTACTGAATGTCAGAGCTGTGTCAGATTTGTGTGAGATTTGTGCCCCTCATCAGAAAAGGAAGAAGTTAGTGATGCAACAGGTTTTAAATAAGGAAAGAGAGAGTGAAAGAGGAGATAAAGAGAACGGAATGTCTGTGATAACACAGTGTGGAGCTGGAGGAACACAGCAGGCCAGGCAGCATCAGAGGAGCAGGAAAGCTGATGTTTTGGGTTGGGACCATTCTTCAGAAATGGGGGAGGGGGAAGGGAGCTCTGAAATAAATAGAGAGAGGATCCAGCATCTGCAGTTCTTACTATCTCGGAATGTCTGTGTTAGTGTGGAAGGCAGAAGAGATTAAATGATAAGGTGGAGGATGGTGCAAGACAAAAGGAGGTGGAAATAGAACAGGATTAGAATCATTAAATGATACAGTACAGAACAGGTCCTTCAGCCCATTGAGTTCGTACCCCCAACAAAATACAACAAACTACACTAGTCTCACTTTTCTGCCTATAGCCTTGAATGTTACGATATTTCAAGCTCTGATCCAATATTTTTGAAAGGTTTCCCACCTCAGCTACCCTGTAGGCAATTCATTCCAGATCCCTACCATCCTCTGGGTGTAAAAGTATTTCCTCAAATCCTCTCTAAACCTCCTGCCTTCCACTTTAGAATGACACCACTTTTTTATTGACCCTTCGATGAAGAGGAACAGCTGCTTTCTCCCATCCTGCCCATGCCCCTCATAATCTTATATACCTCAGTCAGGTTCTCCCTCAAAAGTAAAGAAACAAAAGCTGAATGTAGAGGCCCTGTTTTCTGAAACAACAGGAGCAGTGGTAATGATCTGTCATGTTGGGTCCGAAGGCTGTAAAGTGCATGAGTGAAAGATTATTGTTGGAAATGATATTTAGGTATCCAATTGTATATTAGTCATAGTCATAGAGACATACAGCACGGAAACAGACCCTCCGATCCAACCAGTCCATGCCGAATGTAATCCCAAACTAAACTAGTCCAACCTGCCTACTCTTGGCCCATATCCCTTCAAACCTTTCCTATTCATATATCCATCCAAATGACATTTAAACGTTCTAATTGCACCCACATCCACCACTTCATCAGAAAGCTCATTCCACACGCGAACCACCCTCTGTGTAAAAAATTTGCCTCATTTTTTAAAAATCTCTCTCCTTTCACTTTAAAAATGTGTCTCCATCTTAGGGAAAAGACGACTACCACCAACTCAATCTATACCTCTTTCTGGACTAAAGGTTAAATGGAACAGATTTTTATATAGCTTTTCCCAGATGAGTACATGGAAACAAATTGAGACATTCACAAAGGTCTGTCACAAGCTTAAGAAACATTTTTCTCCAAGAAAGCCAGGATATTCAGCATAAACACAACAAACACAGGATCTGCATATGTAACGTACGTTGCAGCTTGTACTAAGAAAGTTAGAATACCTTAACAAACGGAGATTCTAATCACCTGATAACAATGTTATGTTGGTCAATGTAGGCCCCGAGCCTGCTGCCTCGCAGAATGCCACCATTCCCCACAACCACACACCTCGAGCAGGTGCCCAGTGCCACCCCTTTTGGAAGGTCTGCTTGTGGCAGCATCTCCACGACTTCCTGCAGCTGTTCCTCACAATCTCTGAAGCCCAGAGGCGGACTGTAAGGTGTGGTGCCTGGACGTGGGATCATCCCTTTCTGCACAAAAACAGGAATCCCGGGCGGCTGCTTCCCCGAATACAGTGAGGAGAATTTGGACTGGCTCGAGTTTGCTTTGCAAGCACTAGAGATTATCTGCTGGCTTCGATTGTGGAGTTGCTGAAGAAAAGTGAAGGAGAGGACCTTTTGGTTAAGGCATAACTTTGGCTTTCCAGTTAGACTCAAGTTCCCAATGTCCTAAACAAGGCTATCTGGCTTCGCAAACTTGCTCAGTCATTTAATAACATCTAATCCTCAAATTCCCTCACCCGTTCTGTTCTGTCTCTCAAGCTAAATTGAAAGATTTAGCTCACATTTGCGTTAAGTGCTCCAGTCCGCTGTTGCACTGTCCACCATGTTCCATGGACTACAGGACACCCAAAGAGATTTATCAGACCAGGATGATGAGATCAGTCCTAAACTGTGACATTCCCTCCCCAGGATTCACCAATCTACTTCAGGGATGGATCCAGCCGGGAAAGATGGCACCAAAATTCAGATCATTAATGCCATCGGAGACCAGTTGCCCTCCTGTGTGATACATGCTGCACCAACGTCCACTTGCACCATGGTATTCCATGGGGCACCACGTTGAGAAGGGCATATATTGTCTGAAAGGACTTGTTTGAGTTTCTGGAGACATTTGCTGGCTCCCTAGGTTTGGCCGGGAATGCTGTTGCATCCTGAATGGTGAAAGATTAAGAAAGGGGGAGGTGGAACGAAACCTGGGAGTCCTCATACACCAGTCGCTGATGGCAAGCCTGTGGGAGCAGCAGGTAGTGAAGATGCCACTGGTAATGTTAGCATTCATAGTGGCAGGATTCGAGTACAGGAGCAGGGATGTCTTGCTACAAATGTACAAGGCCTTGGTGTTACCACACCTGAAGTATTGTGTCCAGTTTTTGTCCCCTTATCTGAGGAAGGATGGTCTGAGAATAGAGGGAATGCAGCAAAGGTTTACCAGACTGATTCCTGGGATGACAAGACTGGCCTACGAAAAGAGACTGGATCAGTTAGGAATATATTTGCTGGTGTTTAGGCGAATGAGTGGGAATCTCAGAGAAACCCATAAAATTCTAACAGGACTAGTCAGGATAAACACAGGAAGATGTTTCTGATGACCAAGGAGCCCAGAATCAGGGGTTACAGTCTAAAGATATTGCCATTTCCGTCTGGGATGAGGAGAAATATTTTCACTCTCAGAGCAGTGATCCTGTGGAATTCTCTGCCACAGAAAGAAGTTGAGGTCAAAACATTGAATGTTTTCAAGAAGGAGTTAAATATAGTTCTTAAGCCTAAAGGGATCAAAGAGTGTGGGGAGAAAACGGGAACAGATACTGAGTTGGATGATCATGAGTAGAAGAGCAGGCTCGAAGGGCTGAATGGCCTACTCCTGCCCCTAGCTTCAACGTTTCTCTCCTCAAATGGAGGATTTGGTGTCCTCTATAAATAAAAGCTGCAACAAGCAGGCGTATTGTCTCCCTCAACTGGTGGGCACTACATGGGGTTATTCACCATCTGCCCTCAAAATATTATCCTAACTTAAATTTCCGAACTTTTCTTTGGAATTTAGCTTCTGCGATGGGGTTGATTCTTTAGCTTAATTAGTTTAATTAATTTTTTTTAGAATCATATTGTGCCTGCAGAGCAGAAATAAGCCATTCAGCCCATCGAGTCTGCACTGGCCCTCTGAAGAGCATTCCCCCCAGTCTCAGCCCTGACCTATCCCTGTAATCCCACATTTCCCATGGCTGACCCACCTAGCCTGCACATCCCTGGACACTACGGGGCAATGTAGCATGGCCAATCCACCTAACCTGCACATCTTTGGACTGTGGGAGGAAACCGAAGCACCCGGAGGAAACCCACGCAGACACAGGGAGAATAGGCAAACACCACACAGATAGTTGCCTGGAATTGAACACAGGTCCCTGGCGCTGTGAGGCGGCAGTGCTAACTGCCCTTTTTTGAAGGCTCTACATGGTGAAAGAGGTGTGTGCTCTGCATTGGCCGCACCTCCAGGCCTGCAAAAAGACAAGGAAATGGAAAGCAGAGACTGTGCAGAGCGAAGGCTTTACAATACACCCTCTGCCAAGAAGATGCCAGCCTCTTGCAAGCTTCTCGACAGTGACACCTCAGTGTACATGCTGCTCCACATTCCTCAACCTCGCTTGCACTCTTCCCCCCTTGGTCTTCAATCCCATTGCAACCATCCCGGACCTCAGTTTTATTACCCTCACCCTGATGATAATCTGCCTCGCACTGGTCCCTCACCCTCACTGGGCAGGTCAGAGCCTGCAGCTTACCACAACATAATCCTCGGGCATGCTGTAATATCTCCAGATATCCTGCTGCCTGTGGTGTGAAGGGTAGAGCAGCACCAGGTAACAGAGGGATAGCAGGGTCACTGATGTGAACAGAGATTGCTGCCTGGGAAAGAAATAAGAAAGTCAGTGTAAAGTAGATGATCAGGAGGACCCCAGAAACTGAATCCGTTCTACTGAAAAAGATTAATAGATCTGCAAAATATTTCCCATCCTGTAATAAGGGCTTTTCCCCTATGCAATGCCAATTGATATATATTGCAAATATCAGCACTTTTTTTTAATGAGAGATGAAAATATTCAAATTCCAGGATCTAGTGTTTTTCTTGATTCATTGCTAAGGGTTTGGGAATTGAATTTGATAAGTCTTAACCATTTCCCTGTGTCAGTCCCTGTATGATTCTCAATGATTTTTGCTGTGATGTTAGGTATCTCTGTCTCTGAATCTTATCGCCAACTCTTTTCTCACTGGAAAATGAGTGAAAAAAGAAACAAACTTGTGTTCAGACTGAATCACTGGGTGATGCAACAAAAAATGAGGCTGTTCCATAGACGACTCCTTCCAGACACACGGCCTCTACTGTGTAGAAGTACAAAGGCAGCAGATACATGGAAATATGCCCATCTGCAAGTTCCCCTCCAAGCCACTCACCATCCTGACTTGGAAATATATTGCCTTCCTCCACTGTCGCTGGGTCAAAATCCTGGAATTCCCTCTCTAATAGCATTGTGGGTGTACTGAAAGCACATGGACTGCAGCGGTTCAAGAAGGCAGCTCACCACCACCTTCTCAAGGGCAACTAGGGATGGGCAATAAATGCTGGCCCAGCTAATGACTCCCATGAGAGTCTAAGACCAGAGGCCATAATCTCAAAGGAAGGGGGTCACATATTTAAGATGAGATTTGAGATGAGAAAGAATTTCTTCTCTCGGAGGATTGAGAATCTGTGAAATTCTTTACCACAGAGGGCTGTTGAGGCTGGGTCTCAAGTCTGATTTTTAACCCAATAAGAGTTAAAAGGAAAAGGCAGGAAAGTGGAGAAGTTGAAGATGATCAGATCAGCCATAATCTCAGTGAATGGCGGAGCAGTCTCGATGGGCTGAATGGCCTACTTCTGCTCCTGTGGCTTATGGTCTTATTTTAAATTGTAAAAGTTTCTCATTTCAGTACCATCATTGTACTTTTTGCAATTGCTCCAATGCTTCTGTGGCTTTTTCATATCATAGGATTTGAAACTATATACAGAACGTTATCCCAAGTGTGGTTTAACCAGAGCCCAGCATACATTTAACATAACTTCACTGATTTTGGCTTACATCCCTCCACAGAAATAAATCCCAGAGTTTCACTAGCATTGTAATTCCTCTGCTGAACTGCAAAGCTGCTTTTTGTTCACCATTATCCCAAGAACCCTTTGCCCTTTCCAACCTACTTCGTTTCTTGTTTCCCAAAGTGTCTGAAAAGCTACTTCTGTTCTCTGTATGAGTCGTTTCCTTTACCTGTTCCTGAAGCACACTGTGGGCTGAGCTGTCCTCATCCTGTCAACACAGCCGTAAAACTGGAAGAAAACGTTTCCAAAAAAAAGAGTTAATTCAACAATTGTGTTCTTTTTCTCACACATTCGCTCATCAGTGAAAGAAGCCAGTTCCTGTGTTTAACCCCTGTTTCTGAAAGGATCCAATTAGGACCAGCTCTCGTCATTGCTTGAATCAACTGCCCAACAGTGTACACGTGTGAGAGAGAGAGAGAGAGAGAGTCTGGGGCCAGGCTTTGACTCCAGGGGGTATGGGCTGGGGAGATGACAGGAAATCATACTAACACCAGTCCTTTCCAGAGCTGATGCATTATCATCAACACGTCCAGCATTGCTGAGCTGGGGAGTCACTGCCTGCTGAGCCTTCTCTTCTAGGAATACAGGAAAGGGAGAATGCAGAAGGCACAGTTTGTAGCTGCAGTTGTCATCCTCATTGGAGGAAGGTGCTGGAAATCAAGGCCAGTTATTTCCGGAGTTGTCAGAATATATAGAATTAAAAAGTATGCAGCATTCTCCAACATACCTGGTTGATAGAAAGTACAGACCAGATTTCTGTACTTGACAGTAATTGTTACTTATTACAAGTAATTAGACTCCAAGTGCATGTAAAAAGTTATAAACTATCAACATATAATGGTACAAATTAAAACTAATACCCCTACAAACACACACACAGGCAAAAATAGCTTATGAATGTAAGAAAACTGCAGAGGTAATTTAGTGGCTCCTAGTCCCAGGTTCCTGAGATGATGCTCCTAAGTCTTATCTTGGTCAGAACAATGCCTCTCAATTATCCTCTAGATGTTTCCACTGGTTTGCAAGAGATACACGATTCATTCCTTTATAAAAAGGTCTCTGACTTATTAATTTAAAGTTGCAGCTTAAAGCATCTGTTGAAGAAAGATAAACTGATTTTCTTCAGGTTTGAAGTGGCTTACTGCAGAGAAGGGAGCGAGAGCCCTAGGCTGCTGGATAGCTGGTTTCTCTTTCTATCTTGTTCCCAGCAACAACTTATGCAGTTAACCAAGAAACAATCACATGATTGTTGGCACGCAAAAGGTCTTTGTCATCGATAACTGGTCACTAGTCCATAGACCAACTTCAAATACTGCTTGTTCAAGCAGCTGTTTAAATGATGCTTGCCATGAGTGTCAAGTTACTTACTTTTTAAAACATGCAGCAATCCTTTAAAACACTAGTTTAAAACAGTTCTTTCTTATTTCAATCCACAATGTTAAGAACAATAATTAAAAGACACCGTCTTTATACAATCACCTTGTTCGTACACAAAAAAAAAGACTTGTATTTGTATAACATATTTCAATCTCAGGACAACCAAAAGTTGTTTATAGAATATGAAGCACTTTCAAAAAAGTGTAGTCACTGTTGTAATGCAGGAAACACAGCAGTCTCATTGTGAACAGCACGCTGCCACATACATGGTATCATCAAAATTCAAACTATTCCTTCTTTCCTCTGTCTGCATCTTCTTGGCTTTGGGAATGTCACTTCTCTGGCTTATTGGACAGGGACATGAATGATGTCGAATATTAAATCTCTATCACTTCTCTGGCTCATTGGACAGGAACATGAATGATGTCGAATATTAAATCTCTATCACTTCTCTGGCTCATTGGACAGGAACATGAATGATGTCGAATACTAAATCTCTATCACTTGCATATTCATTTTAAAATTTATTCATGGGATGTGGTTATAGTTGGCTGGGCCAGCATTAATTGCCCATCCCTATATGCCCTCAAGAAAGTGACACTGAAGCAACAGCAATATATTCCCCAAGTTAGGAAGGTGAGTGACTTGGAAGGGACTTGTAGGAGGTGGTGTTCCCATGTATCTGCTGCCTTTGTCCTTCTATAGACAACTCTAGATCCACAGCGATGTGCTTGACTTTTAACTGCCATCTGAAATGGCCGAGCAAGTCATTCAGGTGTATTCAAAGCCTAAGGAAAGGAGTGAAACTGGGCAGACCTCCAGGCATCAACCTAGGCATTGGAAACACTATTGCAGGGTCGACAGGACTGAGTTTGCCAATGTTTCTTTACCAACTTCTGGGGTGCTTGGACCAAAATTGGGAGAGCTGTCTCACATACTCAACAACCAAAAGCCTGATAGAGTGAGATGGAATCATACCTTATGCATAGGCAGGACAGGCTCAGCAGAGGTGAGGGTGGGGTGGGGGGTTGGTGGTGACATGGTGGGTGTACAGTCAGCAGTGAGTTACCCTGGAAGACTGCACCATTGCATTTGGATCCCATGAAGTCTCATAGCTTCAGGTCAAACATGGGCAAGGAAACCTTTTGCTGGTTATCACTTACCATCACCGTTGGCTGGTGAATCAGTGCTCCTCCATGTAGGTCACCACTTGGAAGAAGCATTGAAAGTGACAAGGTGCTCTGGGTGAAGGACATCAATGTCCATCAAGAGTGTCTCAGCAGCACCACCTCTGATCGAACTGGTCAAGTTCTTAAGGACTAGGTCTGTGGTGATGGGACAAATAAGGGAGGAAACATAGTTAACCTCATTTCCACCAATCTATCTTTGCAAAGGCATCTGTCCACAATAATATCGAGAAGAGTGACCACTGTACTGTTTTGGTGGGGGAGGGAAATCCCACCTTCACATTGAGAATACTCTGCATCATGTTGTGAGGCACCATCACTGTGCTAAATGGGACAGACTTTGAACAGATCTAGCAACTCAAGACAGAGCATTTATGAATCATAGTGGGCCCTCAGCAACAGCAGAATTGTATTCCAGCACAATCTGTAACCTCACGGCCCAGGCTGATTGTGGTATTAATGAGCCCTCACAAAACTGGAAACAATGGGAATCAGGGGGCAAACTCTGAAGTGCAAGAGATAACGCTAAAATATTCGCAGCAATCTTCAGCCAGAAGTGCCGATTGGATGATCCATCTCAGTCTCCTCCAGTGGTCCCCAGCATCACAGATACCAGTCTTCAGCCAATTCGATTCACTCCATATGAGAGTAAGAAATAGACAGAGGCTGGATGTTGCAAAGGCTATGGGACTTGACAACATTCCGGCAATAGTATTGAAGACTTGTGCTCCAGAACTTACTCCTCCCTACCCTAGCTGTTGTAGTACAATTACAACACTGGCATTTACTTGGCAATGTGAAAAATTGCCCGAGTATGTCTTGTACACAAAAAGCAGGACAAATCCAACCCGGCCAATTACCGCCCCATTAGTCTCCTCTCAATTATCAGTAAAGTGATGGAAGGTGTCATCAACAGTGCTATCGAACAGCACCTGCTCAGCAATAACCTGCTCAGTGACGCTCAGTTTGGGTTCCGCCAGGGCCACTCAGCTCCTGACCTCATTACAGCCTTGGTTCAAACATGGACAGAAGAGCTGAATTCCAGAGGTGAGGTGAGAGTGACAGCTCTTGATGTAATTCGACCGAGTGTGGTATCAAACTAGCAAAGCTGGAATCAGTAGGATAGGGGGCAAAATCTCCACTGGTTGGAGTCATTCTTGGCACATAGGAAGGTGATTGTGATTGTCTGAGGTCAGTCATCTCAGCTCAAGCACCATTTAATCATGGCTGTTATGTTTCTCAACCCCATTCTTCTGCCTTCTTCCCCCTTTTCAATCAAGAACCTACCTATCTCTGTCTTAAATACTCTCAATGACTTGGCCTCCACAGCCCTCTGTGGCAATGAGCTCCATAGAGTCACCACCTCATCTCAGTTCTAAAGGGTCAACTCTTCACTCTGAGGCTGTGTGTCCCAGTCCTAGTCTCTCCTACTAGTGGAAACATCCACATCCACTCTATCCAGTATTCTATAAGTTTCAATGAGATCCCTCCTCATCTTTCTAAACTCCATCAAGTAGACACAGACTCCTCAATTGCTCCTCATATGACAAGCCCTTCATTCCCAGGATCATTCTTGTAAACCTCCTCTGGATCCCCTCCAATGACAGCACATCCTTTCTTAGATACAGGGCCCAAAACTGCTCACAACAATCCAAATGTGGTCTGACCAGAGCATTACACAGCTTCAGCAGTATGTCTCTGCTCTTGTAGCCTATTCCTCTTGAAATAGATGCTAGTACTGCATTTTCCTACCTAACTGCCGACTGAACCTGCATGTTAGCCTTAAAAGAATCCTGAACTAAGACTCCCTGGTCCCTTTGTGCTTCAGAGTTCCAATGCCTTTCTCCATTTAGAAAGTAATTTACACCTTTATTCTTCCTACCAAAGTGCATAACCTTACACTTTCCCGCATTGTATTACAACTGTCACTTCTTTGTCCACTCTCCTAGCTTGTCCAAATCCTTCTGCAGCATCCCCCCTTCCTCAACACTAACCTGTCCCTCCACCCATCTTTGCGTCATCTGCAAACTTAGCAACAATGCCCTCAGTTCCTTCATTCAGATCATTAATGTATAATGTGAATTGTTGTGCTCCCATCAAAGACTATTGCAGAATTCCACTAGTCACCAGCTGCCATCCTGAAAAACACCCTTTTATCCCTACTCTCTGCCTTCTGTTAGTCAGCCAATTCTCTATCCATGTCAGTAACTTGCCCCTAACACCACGGGCTCTTTTCTTATTTAGCAGCCTCTTTGCAGTGTCTTGTCAAAGGCCTTCTTGAAATCAAAATCAATCATGTCTACTGGATTTCCTTTGTCCAACTTGTTCTTATTGCCTCAAAAGAATTCTAAGATTCTTCAGGTATGACCTCCCCTTGATGAAGCCCTATTTTATCACGTACATCTGCAAACTTATCCTTAATAATTGACTCGAAAATCTTACCAATGACGGAGATCACGTTAACTTACCTATAATTTAGCCAGGGTAGGTGATGGCCCAGTGGTATTATCGCTAGACTATTAATCCAGAAAGCCAGCTAATGCCCTGGGGACCCAGGTTTGAATCCCACCATGGCACATGGTGGAATTTGAACTCAATTTTAAAAAAGAGAAGTCTGGAATTAAAAATCTACTGATCACCACGAAATCATTGCTGATTGTAGGA